CATAAAACCCCCCCCCCCCGCCTTTGCTGAATTATTTTATTATTTCAGAAATTAAAAAATATATATTTCAAAAAAATAAAGAAGAAAAAAAACATCTGGGTTGTGGACACATTTTAGCCTTAGCAGAAGACTGTTCTGCTTCAGCTAATTAATATGATTATATATATTAATTACATATATGCCTATATATATTATATATATTTATATATGCCTAAATATATATTTATATATATTGATCCTGAGGAATAACATGATTTTGTCCTTTTTACTGTCGGTGGTCCACAGGCTCCATGTTAGCATTAGCGCTGTTAGCGTATAGCCGCCTCTGGTCAGACGCACTCACCCTGAAGAATTCTTTAGTGGAGCCTGAGTCCAACGTCCCGTAGGCGATCTCTGTCTGCTTGGCCAAGTCCTCGGCGCTCTCGATGGGAGACACCATCCTCTCCACGGTGAGGAAGGCCGCCAGGTTGGCCGTGTAGGAGGAGATGATGATGAGGGTGAAGAACCACCACACACCTCCGACGATACGCCCAGACAGAGACCTGAGAGGGGGAGGAAGAGCAGGGAGACATGAGAGCAGTGGGATCAAACCTACGGGGCGGGGTACTGTTCATGACACCATGACCGTCAATGACATCAGCACTCTGTAAACACAACAGTGAGTTTATGAAAGTCTGAAGTAGAACTAATGAAGGCTACCGCAGGTGTTAAACAGTGTAATCCACCACTAGATGGTGCTACATCCTACACTCATTCCCCCTGGCTGTAACAGGAGAGGCCACCTAGATGAGAGTTTTCTAAACTTCTCACATGAAGACCTACTTTTTGTACATGACAGAGCGCAGTGACCCACTTTACCTCCCACATTTTTTTTTTACATTTATTTATAAAAGTCTGTCAAACTTTTCTAACAGCTGGGATAGATGAAAAACTCCAGACACTTTTATTCCCATCGAGTTTAAAATATAAAGTTGAAAAAAATCTGCTAATTAATTCAACAGCCCAAATAAATCCTGCGCTGCCATCTGTGGGAAGTGACCCACTCTGTGGGAAACACTGATCTGAGGGAATACATTAAAGTCATTATGGAACAATAGGATGGAGACGGAACCACAGTACGAACAAACGAGGGGAAAAAAAAAAATGAAAACGACAAAGTTACACTCACAGAACACTCACCTGGAAACTGCTGGTCTACCAGACAAAAAATATTTGTTGGTGCAAGATTTCTGTAAAAACCTTGGACTATATAAGTTAAACAAAACAAGCACTAAAATCTTCCCACATCAGAGTTCGGTGTCAACAACAACAACAACAACAAAATAAATAAAAAAATCAAAGCTCTAGATAAAGGTCAAGTGTCCAAGGACAGAAAATATAAAATATAAAAACAAAAACTGCTGCCATCAAACCAGATAAGGACGAATTATTGATGGATTTTTTTCCCCACCATCTGTTTTCAGAGATGTTTTTTTCATGGGGCAGTTTTACTGGTCCGTAGTTTGAATCCGGTCCAATTTCATTATTGTTCTTATTCTAGACTTCATGAGAATAAAACACAAACGTTTGATTGTGGTCTGACCGTTTTTAAAGAATGTGTTAAAACCCTGCGACCCTTTTATTTGACCCACGTGGTGTTTGGTGTTGTGTCCTGTCCGCCAAGTCTGGGCCACAAGCTGACCACAGCAACCAGACCAAGATCTGACCCAGATCTGGACACCATGTTTGTTCTGAGACATGTGGGACACATCAGGCCCACATCCACTTTATATATGGGCCAAGAGGAGGTTGGCCCATATAAAATGAAGTGTATGTGGGCCACATCTGCATGTGTCAGAGGTGGGGACGTCTGATGAGGTGGGTGGCACCAGGACAGTGATGTGGACACGGATGGACAGATGATTGACAGGCAGCAGCTGTGACGGCGTCCTGATGGTGATTATTTCCGCTCCCACACAAAATACATCACATGCACCAAAGTGATGAGCGTAAAATGGGACATGCAGCAAAAACACGGTAGCCCGCCAAGAGTCAGGGCAGCCACTCTGACGGAGGTGTAATGACCCCGGTGCATTTTACAGCCCTCATGGTGGATATCAGTTATTCTGCCGGCATGCGGCGTCACAGCAACGAACAAAAGACAGAAGGACGGGCAGAGGAATGATAGGCGTGATGGGAGGAGGGTGCAGCCAAGTGAAGCCAGAGGTGAGATCTCAAAATAACCCATATTCACCATGGCAGAATGGAAACGGTTCAGGACTATAAAATGCAGAGACGGGGACAAAGACGGCCGAGCGTTGGTGAGGAGCAAACACGACAACAAACCTTGGTGAGATATCGCATCCTTGCTGCATGAAGGCGCCCAGGGAGAACCACAGGCTATTAAAAATCCCAAAGTCGTTCGGAGGGTCTGGGGGACACTGAGGGTCTTTGGCCTCATCGGCATCGTCCAGGTGCCACTCGTAGGGACTGAAGCGGCTCACCAGGAAGAGCACCACACTCACGCCAATGTAGGCGAAGACAATACACATCCAGATCTCGTAGGCCAGAGGGTCCAGGAAGGAAAAGACCCCCGGTTTGGATTTCTGCGGCTTCTTTATCATAATGGAGATGCCCAGACTCATGAAGGGCTTGGAAAAGTCGATCCCCTCCTCCCGCACCAGGGTGATAGTGAGAGGAGCCACGGCTATGTCGGCTCTCTGTGGAGACGGAAACAGGCACGGAGCAGGTCACATGATGTATTTATACTTATATAAATCATTCAATTTACATCAACAAAAAAAAGATACACGAGAAAAGGTAGGTATATGATTTGCGCTGACATTGATATCCTTATTTTTTTACCACCTTAAATCAGGTTTTATATTATACTTATTTTTTTACCACCTTAAATCAGGTTTAAAGTAAATTGGAGGAAAAAAAATCAAAATTAAGGAAATTCAATCTTTGGCTTTTTTCCCTCTAAACAGGATCGTAACGTACATGAATCGATTTTTCAGTCCTGTGTTCGGATGTTTTAAACGTAAACAGATCTATTCGACACTTACCCCGTAGACCAGTTCTCCCACCATCCCGTTCCACGTCTTGGTCTCTGGATCTCTGGCGCCGTACTTCCCGTCCGGCACAATCGACAGCTTATATCTTATCCCCACATGTTTCGCAATTTCAGAAGCTAAATCGACACAGTAGCCTTCATATCTGTCATTCCCCTCCAGCTGCATATAGTTTTTCTTGTACATCACATACGGAGCTTCCTGTTAATTAGACACAAACTCTTGAGTGTGTGACACAAATATATACACACACACACATATATATATACAAATACACACAGGCGGTCTACAGTGACCACACCATGTGGGTCAGTAGCCTAAACTGGTACTGGAGCATGCGCACATGCAAGGATGAGAGACCAAAACAGAAGGGATGAAGAATAGGAGCAGGTCAAAGGTCAGCTACAGGTAATAAAAAAGTTCAAGCAGCCGATGAGGAAGATGAAAGTTCAAAAACAGGGCTGCTACGTGCTGTTAGAAAAGAAAAGAAAAGAAAAGAAAAGAAATCAATAGGTGCAAACAGGCCAATGACAGAAGGAGGGGAGGAGGGGGGGAGGAGGGGGGTTACATGTGCTTTACATCAGCTGGGAACAAAGAGGAAGAGGAGGAGGAGGAGGAGGAGGAGGAGGAGGTGAATGGAGCGTTTTTTTTTTTCCAGTTCATGAAGTAAACGTCAGTGACAGCAGAGAATTCAAAGTCTCTGAAAATCCTTTTATCTGAAAACTTTAACTTTGACCTGAATGTGTGAGAAACATCAATCACTTGTCTTTGGGTTCTTGACAAAGTCGTGTGCCTGTCTTTGAACACACCGTTTAAAATATATAATTATATAGATTTTTGTTTCGTTTGTTTCTAAAAAAAATGTAACCTTTTTTTTTCTTTTTTTCACTTATTATTTTCCTTACAAGTCATGAAAAAAATGGTACCAGAGAAATGATTAGATAAGTAACTTAAACACGTTAACTGAGTTGGGTGATTTAGAGCCGGCTCTGGGCACAGGGACCACTTAGGGCGCCACCTGCAGGAAGAGGTGCTACTGCAAGCCCTCGAAAAAAAAGGAAAATATAGTTTCCTTTTGTTTGATTGACCTTTGAACCCTGCCTTGCACTGAGACACCTGTTATATATTATGTTTATTATCAGAACTTTTTAAAACACTTTATAAATATTTTTTTATATATATATTTGCACAGACCCTGAAGAAGAACTCTGGTTTTTCATCCTGTTTTATTCTAAATATTTTTTCATTATTATTATTTATTTTGTTGTTTATTGTTTATGTTGACGAGTCTGAACAACAATTAAAATTAAGAGTTCTTTCACACAGCTTTGGCTGTTTATTTTTGAGAGGCGTTTGGGGGGTGGGGGAGGGAGAGGGGGAGACGGAACACCAACGACCTGAACGGACAGAGCCGGCTGTGAGGACGGACCTATGGTTGACTTTCACTGAGAATAATGAGGTTAACATGAAGTAAATGAGATGAAAATAAAGGTCTGAGTCTGTGAGGGGATGATGCAGTGATCGACTACTCTGGTCTGGTTTATCTGGTCCTGATTTCACTGATCAGGGTTTTTCTTCTGCTGGTGGAGGATGATGAAGATCTGACGACTGGAATGAGAATGTATGACGTTGACATTCTGAATTTGCCTAAGATGAAAACATAATAGACAAAGTCAGAAGGTGGAGTGAGAGAGGCAGAGAGGCAGAGAGAGAGAGATAGAGAGAGAGAGAGAGCGAGAGGCCATGGTTTTAAATGTAAGATAAGGCGTACCTTATCTTACATTTAAAAATGGCTGATGATGACTGTTCAACTAAAACGATAATAATATTAATACTGTTTGTTTTTTCTTTTAAATAAACCTGAAAATAATTTAAGAAGTAAATTATCGACATGAACAACCAGAGGTTTCCACCGATGGTTCTTCATGTCTGATCTGCTCCGTTTTACTCATTAAAATGTATCAAAACACTGACGTTTTACTTCATGAGAAGGATTTTTTTTTTCTCATTTACTTACGTACGGATGCACTGAAAGTGAAAATGATGGTGTGTCTCTATTCTACACTGGCGTCATTACCAAAGCCGTTATTGTGACGTCACTACTACAACAGCCCACTGTAAGGTTAAAGAAACCAAAATGCTTTGGCACCCACACGGATACAGTTGAAACACTCTGCGTGGATCGACTGTTTCAACATGTAGTGAGTGGATGGAAAGCAACTGAAAGGACCAAAACAGTTCTACCCTCCCAGGACAGATCGACAACAATGGACACCTTGACCTTGAGTGGCAGAAATCTCTCAAAAGTGAAATATTTTTAAAAGCTGCTCAAGTGTGTACCATAATAGTAGTGACCACAATTGTTCGGTTTTCCACAGAAGAGGACTCATTGGTGACCTGCTGATCCATTACATAAACAAACTTTTCGTACTCATTCCAGTAGCCGATCTGAAAAGGACACAGAGGTGGACGGTTATTACAGGAAGCAGGTGTGACTTCAGGTGTGTGTGTGTGTGTGACTTTGTTTATCCTTGTGTACAGAGATATTTGTCGTTGGGCTGCTTTTTGTCAAACAAACAATTTTCTGTTCAGGGAGTGAAGTTTCTCACCTGACCTGAACTCACACTTCAGCAGAGAAGGAGAATCTATTCTGGGCTCAGAAAATGTTCTCTTTTGTGAGGAATCAGCAAAGATTGAATTAAAGATGAGGATGAGGAAAAATTAAAAAACATCTCTAAAACTGACTTAATAAAAATGATTTCTTTCTGCTCTTAGGTTCAATCAAACAAGGAAAGGAATTTGAAACACAACCGATGTTTTCTTTTTCGTCTGTCTTTTTCTTTTTCTTCTTCTTTTCTTTTTCTTCTTCTTCTTCATCATCATCATCATCTTCTTCATCATCGTCTTCTTCATCATCATCTTCTTCTTCCTGCTCTGACTCTCAGACTAATCTGACATCAGACTAAAAACAAACTCATAACTCACTCCTAACAGAGAGTACATGAATGAATACTGGAGAACACAGTTCTGTTGAACGTCACATGGAGAGATGTTTCCATCACGGTGGTCTCTCTCTCTCTCTCTCTCTCTCTCTCTCTCTCCTCTTACCTTCCTGGGACCACCGGACTTCATCTCATACACGTCGATGGTGTAGTTGGCTCGACGACCGAACGTGTCAAACTGGATGTTTCCTGTCATGCCTTGAACCTGGACCTGTCAGGGGGAGAACAGGGGGAGACCAGGGGGGAGAACAGGGGGGAGGCCAGGGGGGACAACAGGTGACCAACCGTAACCTCACCCACGGCCCTAACTCTGCTGCAGCCGTCTCCCTCTCTCTCTCTCTCCTCTGTTTGACTTCATGTCCTCACCATTTTCAGGGCTCTCTCGATGTCAATGCCTTGGCTCCAGGGCACTGCGGGATTGGCCAGGCAGTCGCCCGCGCTTCCTCTGCGCGACACGTCCACTCGCTGCCGTCGGAGGTACCTGAAGGCCTCGATGATCACCAGGATGCCGTCGTGGGTCAGTGCCGACGTGTACTGTGACACAAGAAACCCAGAACGTGGGCCGGTGACATCACACACACATCGGACACAGCGTCAGACAAACAGGGAATTTTACCAGCAGCTTTCTGCTGAGTCCTGATGAGGAAACATAGACTGGAGGCTCTTCATCACTGACTGACAAGAACAACAGTCTGAATATAACTGAAGGTGGTCAGTCAGACGGAGGTCTTTTCTGTGACGTCGGCTAAAATTACAGACTCAAATCTAGAAGAAGTCGTGCAGTGAGGAAGATGAAGATGACGGTGAAGACGTTTAATTAAAATCCTAAATGCTGGGTCAGCACTCGGAGCTTCACCGACCTTCAGAGGAGAGTTTTTGGCTTCGGGGAATTCCCTCTCGTCCAGGCGTTCCCAGCGCTGCAGGAACTGCTGGACCACAGGACTGTCCGGGTTGATGATCTGGAAACCTGTGATGTTGGCTCCACCAGAGAAGACCCTGTCCAGACTCACGTTAGAAAACCCCTGAGAGCAGAGAGACAACGGCCACATGGTGGCAGCGTGGTGAGTGACTTCATCATCAGAGTCAGTTTCATTTTTCCATCGTTCAGTTGAAGGGTTTCTTACCAGGTTGGCCAGGATGTAGTGGTATCCTCTGCTGTTCTTCCCTGAGGTCACCACCTGACAGAAGAGGGGGAGAGGGGGGAGGAGGGAGGGCCGGGGGAGGAGGGGGGGGGGAGGAGGGAGGGCCGGGGGAGGAGAGGGGAGGGGAGGGGAGGATGAACCACAGTCAGAAACTGTCGCAGTCGATCCTTTCTATTAACTTCACATAAAAAAATATGTAAAAAAAAAAGGTCGAGGCTCCGAGGGTCTCTCTCCTCTGCCTTCGTTTGTCTCAGTCACACAGGAGACTTAATTAAAACTAAAACAGTGGACAGTCTGTCTGTCTGTCTGTCTGTCTGTCTGTCTCCTCTGAACCCGTCCATCCATCCAGCCTTTATTTCTGTCTGTCACGCACACATATCAGCCTGCTTCACTGCTGCAGAGTACAAAAGATTCTGAGGGGGTGGAGAGTTGTTTATTTTTTATTTTCCCTCCCCTGTCTTTTCACTTTCTACACTCGCCCACAGATCTGAACTATACTCAGCACTGAAATCCTCTAAATGTTGGATTCCACAGTGAGAGGGAAACCATGTTGAAGGAGACCAGGACTGGGTTGGACTGAGCACTGACCAATCACACTTTCTAAGACGTCATGATCAATAAAAGAAACCTGAATACAGCATCGAAGACCTCAGACTGAGGAACTGAAAACCTGGATGATAAAAAACAACACGTCATCTTCTGTGAAACGACAAGGTCAAATATACAGTACAATAAGTTATGATTATAAAAGCATCAGGCTCAGTTTAGCTGCAGAGAGATCAGAAGTCAATGGTGTTAGTGAAAAAAAATTATTTTTGAGATCATGTTTTTCATCTATTTTCCTCTAAGTGGGATTATGATGGAGATATCTTCAGGTATATTTATACTTGCTGGTATTTATATATTTTGGATGAATACTGTAGTACAACTGTAGTTTTGTTTCTTTAGAGTCAAAACGTCCTCCGCCCTCACATTTCCTGTCTCCAGTGTTAGCCTGGAACAGCCGGCAATTTAAATGATAAAGCAAACTGCGGCCTCTGTAAAACGTAAAAACATCTCATTCTGTTCTGCATTTTCCACCCCCGTGCCAACGACCTTCAAAGGTTTGAATCCCACATCAGCCTCTCCAGTAAAAAATCCTGGAAAGCTTCCCTGGTTTTATCTTCTATTCATCCACGTGAGAGGGAGCCCCCGGTGGTCAGAGAGCGGCATCACAGCGAGCACTTAATGAAGCTGACGCTCCTGGAGTGATGAGCTACATCAGTGCACAGCCAGGGGGCGGAACACTTCCTGTCCCCTCATAGGAATCTGGGAAATATAGGAATTAACTCCCACTGTGAGATGGAAGTCCATTATCAGGAGCACGTTTTCATGACTGCAAAATTTAAATTTAAAAATTACATTAAATGTTAGAGTTTCTACAATTTAATTTAATTTAATTTAATTTGTAAAGATGCACGGGATTTTGATTAGTTTCAACCTAAAACATGTTTGTTGGTGTTTGCTGTGAGAGGTTTACCAGTTTAACAGTGTGTGATGTCACGGTTCACATGTGAGGGTTAACTGGGGTCGACCCAGGTTTGTTGACGCGAGCTTAGTCTTGGGTGGATTTACATCACAGTTCTTATTCCAGAATCCACTTGATGTTCATATTCTCTTTTATGTCGTGAGGATAAAACTAAAGCTTTCACCTCCAGGCCGTCGGCTCCTCCTGCAGCATCAACACTCCTCACATTAGTATTCATCTGCTGTTGGGGATATAATCAGAAATAAGGGAGAACCTGCTGTGGGGGGGCTAGGGGGAGCTGGGGGGGGGGAGACAGAGAACTGTAGTCTCAGGTCCTAATTATCTTTATTATCCCCGTCCTCAGGCTTCTGCCTCCCTTCTGTCTGGTCGTGGGGCTGAGTTGGACCGATCTGCGGCTCCATCAGCCTTAACATTCCTGTGAGACCACACTCTAATTAAACAGACTGGAGCCTCAGTCCTGCACCGAGCTGGATGTCTGCCCCAGCGACTCCTGCTCTTTGTTGCACTGACTTGTCATCTGCCTTTTCAAACACTGGAACGGAGTCCAAACAAACCAGCATCAACACAATTTAACTGTCAAACCGCAAACAATTTCACTGTCACACCAGAGGATCTGAAGAAGAAAAACTGCAGAAGCTACAAAGACAGGACAGGCGTCCAACCACAGAGAGACAACAGACGACACCTGCGGCGGAGCGCTAACAGACGACACTTCAGTCTCAGCCACATCTGGATCAACTTCAAATGTTTTCATCAATGAAGGAACGTGGAAACTTCAGCGACTCCCTGCAGCCGTGCACCGTCCTGATCAATACAACCTGCAGCGCTCCACTTTTTTTCTTTTTTTTTTTTGACACTAAAACAGAGATGTTCAGCTGCTGGCACTGACTCTGATCCAGAACATTCTGGTTTGAGGCACGTTCGACCTCAGCTCCAAGTGGACGCCTCGTAACGAAGACTGAAAGAAGCGTCAAATATTGACACGGTGATAGATCACACACTGAGAAATCTGGTTCAAAACCCTGGAACAAAAACAAAACAAACTTCAAGTATAATCGATGGATTCTCCAAAGACTGAAAGACACTGATAAATTCTTTGTGGTCGTAGAAGAAAATCTCATACTCAGCATCCAAGAAGACAAGTTCACCCAGGACAAAACTGTTTTTGGTTCCAACACAGGCTGCAGAGAAAGATCTTTAACCAGTGCAGTACCACCACTCACCACACGGGGCTGTTCTGAGGAGATTGGGCTCCAGAATAATTTGGTACTGACATTATTAGACATTAAAATGATTGATTTAATAACTAGTTGTCATTTATTTTTATGTGACGATTTTTAAAGAATTATTTTTTACGTATGTTCGTGATGAGACAAACAAGACACAAACGTTAGGAACCATAAAAAAAAAAAAAAATGACATTAGCATTAGAACGCCAAACAATTAAATAAATAAATAAATAAAAAAATGACATTAGCATTAGAACGCCAAAGGTTAATATCACCAATTGGAAATCGAACTAGTTTTTAGGCAACGTAAAATAAATCCATTATCACCAATTGGAAATCAGTTTTTAGGCAACGTAAAATAAATCCAAGAAAACGTACGAACAAAATGTTCGTGTTTAGGATTTGATTATTTTCCTCAGCTGTTTTTAGACCGTGTGCCTCGGCCTTCAAAACACACACACACACAAACACACACACACCTGAAGTTGTTCTCTTTGTTGACTGCCAATTTAATCCACATAAAAAGTGAATTTGTGATGTGTTTACTTTCCTCTTTACAGCTGCCAACTCTCCGTCCTGATGCTGTTTGATGCTGCTTTTCAGCGAGGACGCTTTTAACTCACACTCCTCCTGGGTCTCGTTCAGACGCCTCAGTTACAAAGACAGCTGCACAAAAACAGCCCTGATTAGTTTTGTCTTTTCCCAGAAACATGGTTTCTTTATCCTGTCAAGGATTTAAATAGAGAAAAAATGTTGTCGTCGTCTGAGTTCAGTTGTAGGACAGACGCCGGTAAATACTAACAGGTCGAGGAACAGACGCACATCTGGAACAGACGGGACGGGTTTTTACATTTCCAGGGTTAAAAGACGACGGACCCTGGAAAACTGAACAGGAAGATGAAATAAATAAACGTGAAAATGACAGGTTTTTGTGAACTGGTTAAAAATAAATAATAACATCTGACGTCTTCACTGTTTGTTTGTTACAAATTAGGAGAAAGATTATTGTGGGGTTTGAGTCTGAGAGACTAATGTTTCAAATTTATGTGACCTCAAACAGCTGCAGAGACAGACCATGTCTGTCGAGATGCTCCTGAACTTAACTGACCTGCTGGACTTAACAAAGGCTGTACTGACAGCGGTGTCTCCCAACCTGGGGTATGCAGCCCCACAGAGGGACCAAACGTGAAGAGAGAGAATGAAATTTGTTTTTTCAAAGACTGAACAGCAGTGAACCAATTCTTGCATGGTTTGTTTTTGAAAATGGACCTCTCTGTGTAAACACACTCTGAACTGAGGCAACACTGAACCGACGCTTGCGTCAGAAAAACAGAACCAAAGTTCCACTGTCAAACTTCTCGGCTGCAGGCATCGTTTACTGAACTTAAAACTTTTTTTTTTAAACCCACTTTGGAGAGGAGGCAATGTTAAAGATTTGAAACGGCCGTACATGTGCAGTCTGGCTGGACTAAGAGGACGTCGAGAATATGAGGCCAAAAACCCAAACTCTCAGTTCACAGATGTAGAGGAAAATAATCCAATCATAATTTTTCCGAACTCTTCCCTCCGTCCGTCCACGGAGCAGGAGGAGGAAGAGGAGGAGGAAGAGGAGGCCTGGAGCTGATGAATCCTCTTTGGCAAATATTTCAAACCCACTCCTTCTGTTATGGCTGTGAAGCCTTAAAGATGTTTATCGCTGCGTCTTCGCCGCACAGAGGGGAGGAGCGGGAGGGTATTTGGAAATCTGCTCAGAGAGGCAGCCGAGGCGGGAGAAGAAGAAGCAGAAGTCTCCCACTGCACATTCATCAACAAATAAAAGCTGCTGTATCTGAAACCACACCGATAACAACAGTAATTATCAGGGAATGAAATGATGGATGTCGGCGTGCGTTCGTTAATAAGACCCCGGGAAGAGGTAACAACCCGGGTGGGGCACATTTGTTGACGGTGTATTAACGGGGTCAGAGGCTCCGCATTGATTTGAGGATAAATCACATCAGGAACAGGAACGGCTGCTCCTCGCTGCCTGAGTGACTGCGTTGTGTTTGCTCACTCCTGACTTTGTGAGAGATCTTCCCTCAGGCTAGGAGGAGAGGCTATTTATAGCAGGGCTCATTGTTGTTACTGTTACGGGACAGTGTGTCCTACTTACACTGGGAGCTGATATTACATTAAAGCAAGTGTTGGTGTCACAGCTTGTATAAGGAGGTGCTCTCCAGAGAGGCAGGACCTTTTTTTATGCCACTTTCCAGCATGTGGAGAGACACTCCACTGACTGATGCAGCCGTCCACTCGCAGTCACATTAATCCACCCGAGTAAAATAAATGGGATTGGATCGACCTGACACCGGCTGACCAGCTCCGTCTAACGGGATAACATGAATCTGAGGCAGAAGAAATGTACGAGACATTACTGAGAAAGAAGTATCCGAGTGAACGTGAAAGACAGAGAACAGCAGAAACATCTATCAAATAATTTACAACCAGGTCCTGGGTCTTAGCAGAAAAAAAGTTAAAGATTTATGGCAAAGAAGGCCAGCACTAACGTTAGCTACAACAGTCCTGGTACAGACACCAGAGCTAACGTTAGCTACCCCAGTCCTGGTACAGACACCAGAGCTAACGTTAGCTACCCCAGTCCTGGTACAGACACCAGAGCTAACGTTAGCTACAACAGTCCTGGTACAGACAAACGGCGTAGCCAGCCCACAGTCGACCAAATGACAGGATTCAGAACCAAAAGCGAAAAATAATCTGGTCAATTATTATTATTATTATTCCAGTTTGTACGTATGCTCTGAGAACTGAGCGCCCACACACTGTTACTGTTACGTAACACGGAGGAGATGAATGATTGCTGAGACTCTGACAGCTGTTCCAGGCCTGACCTTCTGTCCCCACAACACTTTACATTGGCGCGCTGTATGATGAAAGTGTCTGTGAATGTAAAGGTGGTGAGGAGGACGGCGTTACTGAAATAACACATCTAACATGACTCATAATCAGCAGATGCTAAAATTATATAGAGAACAAAGAGCGAGGGAGGAAAAACACAGCTATTTCATCTCCAGCAGAGAAGAGTTCTCTCTTCTTCAGCTTTTTTTATTTATTTCATTTCCACCCAATCATTCTAACTCAGAGTTCTGTGGCCTCTTTGCAATAGCTCCTTATATTGGACCACATTTAGCCCAACTGTGGTCAAAGTCATTCATCACACTGTCACCATTAGAGGTCGAATTCAGATCAGGAAGAGTTGACATTTTTACAAAAAACAGGTTCAAAATTGTCAGAATTGTTAGCTTTCTTACTAACAGCAAAACAACATAATGTCGCTGTCCTCTTCACTTGTAGTGAAAGCAGCGGGTGCATCGTACTAAATCATCGTACACAAGAAAATACTGAGGCTTGATCTCGGGTTTTTTTTCCTGATTACTTGGTAATTTTTTATTCCACTGCCATCAAATCTAATGGAAAATCAATTATCCAAAGCTAATTGCCTCTGTTCAGTAGAAGTGAGTGCAGAACATGACTGGACACAGAGACACGACCCCACAACGGTAATTAGCAGGCACGACTTATGTCGTACTGCTCTGAAAATAAACAGTAATGACTGTGAGTAAACACTCACCGCTCCGATTAGACCTGCTGTAATTCATTTTTGGACATTTTGTTTTTCTTCTAAAGCACGTTAGCAATCACTGATATTGAACTGGGACTCAGGTGTGACGCTCGTCAGCCGAGGATCACCACGGAAACAAGGACAAGGATTTAATTTCTCAGCACGACCAGAGATGAGAAGAAGAAGAAACAAAGGTTCTGAGGACGACCGAGTACTGAGAGCTGAAATACTTCAAAGTACTGTCCACGTACCTGCTCCAGGATGGAGTTGATCCTGTCCACCTCACAGTCGATGAGGAAGCGTTTCTCCTGCCGTCTGTCCATCTCCTCGATGATGCGTCTGTACTCAGTGGGATCCACGATGTTGCCCACGGAGCGGGCCGTCACCTGCCAGTTATTGGCCACGGCGGACTCCATGATGGCCTGGAGGATCGCAAAACCTGCAGGAACAGGAGAAGAAGAAGAAAGTCCATTAACGAGGGTGTTCCCCGACCAGCCACCCGCGCGGGCCCCGGCGGGCCCGCGGGGGCGGGCGTTGACACGGTTAGTGATGAAGAGCTGGAGGCCTTCATCACAGCTGGAGGTAACACTGTGTTTAAGGTCAGGATGGATGTCGCACAGTAGATGTTAGCGAAGCCACACTTCAACGGTTTGTGGTGAAGATGAAGTCCTTCAGTTAATTACTGTCCAAAAAATAAATGAAAAAATAAATGTTAACAAAGTCGATCTGAGCCTCAGGAAAGATAAATGTTTTGGAGCTCACCCTCAACCAGAGGTTTCACAGGCCAATAAACGTTCTAATGACGTCACAAACTTTGTTTTTATGAAGCTGTCGTCCTGTTCACCACAGAATAAAAACGCTCACCCTCCTCAGATAACAGTAGCCCCCCCCCCCCCACCCCCCGGTGCTGAGTAAGCAGCTGAGAACTGTTTTCATGCAAATCCAATCAGGCCGTGATTGTCTCACTGCCAGGAATAAACACAGAAGAAACCGACACTTCTGAGAGGAAACGGTACGGAGAGGAACAGGAACGGTTACGACAAACGTGGAAAGTTTAAAAGAAACGTCAGTGCGCTGCCCCCTGCTGACCGTGTTGATGGGTTAAAAGCAGAGGTTGTTCACTTTCCTTCTCCACATTCCGACTTCAGTTCAGGTTTAAAATAAACCAAAGTTTATGGACCGCTGACAGAGGGTGTTGATAATGTAGATGTAAACTGTAAAGTGAAAAAAAAAATCTTCTTCTTCTTCAGTGGTCCAGTCATAACCCACGGACGTCAGCTGACAGGTTTTCAGCGGAGCTCCTAAGTAGTCGGAGCACGCTCGTTCACCCTCTGCTCCTCCTGCCGCTGACCTTCACAGTCAAGAGGCTGGAGAACAGCTCTCAGATCAGCCGTGGCCTTCAGAGACAAGTGGCTCTGGCTGTGCGTCTCCACGTGAGCCACTCAGGAGGTGGAGGAGGTGGAGGAGTGGTGTGTGTGTGTCGGCACGTTCCAGGGCGGTGTGGGAATTCAGTGTCAGCTGCTGAGCCGTTCCTCAGACTGGGCCTCACCCTTTCCTCACCCTCAGATATCAGAACAGGACCTTCAGGGACTTTATCTCTGGTGACAGGACAGAAATGTAAAGGCGGAGGAAGATCAGCTCGCCTCCTCCGGGTTTTTCTGAACATTGAACATCATAAGCTGGGATTCGCGTGGCACTTTGAAAAGTGTTAGCCTCTGCTAAAGAAAGGGGATTTAAGGATTTACCAACGATTTCCTCCAGAGTCTGGTTCTCTCTCTGACACTAACCAAAGCTGGATCTTTCTGGGTTTAATTATTTCTATTTTCCCTTTTAATCTTTCAACGATGAAAAGCTCTAATGTTGTTGATGTGAGAGATTTGATTGAACATGACACCCGGTGAGCGCTAACATCAATAGCTACAATGTCAACGTGAAACATGAATGTCAGAGGACGGTCGGGTCTCCTGGGGACTATTAACACTGACGACGTTTATCCGTTAACTCACTAATGACAGTCATTGGTCAGAGAGTCTTGGTTGACTTTGTAAACAGATGGTACACCGTACAACAGCCGGCGGCCAGGACGAGCATCAAGGGCAAATCACGGAGTCAATTATTCCAAAAACTAATACATATTCACGTTCAGCAGCGTATTGGCGAAAGGCTATTTTTAGCAACAAAAATGTGCAGCCTTTCACAGAAACAGCACAGGACGCAGGGTGACGTCAGGGCGGTGAGAGACGTTTGAACGCTGGGTGGTTTAAGATTTCACCTCGATGGCACGACACAGTCCTGGGGAAATGGGACATGAGAAGGAGATGTTTAATTTTTAATTAATTTTAGAAACAATTGTTTATAAAATGACAGGTGACCAGTTACAAACAGCTACCACTTTTCGAGAAACATCTCTTTTTTCTCAGGGTTTAATTTTCTTACCGGACGAGGTCATAAAAAAAAAAAAGTGATTATATTTAAATCGAAAATTAGCTTTTAAAACTGTAACAAGTTGTTTCCAAACGTTCTGTGACAAACAGGACAGTAAGGACAGTTTAAAACTCACAGATGGTCCAGAAGGACAAGTGGACCAAAAAGGTCGTCCAGGTTGAAGGTCCAAAACCAAAGATGTGACAAAGACACGTGCGAGTTCTCCACTCACACAGTGAACCATCAGAGGGTTAGCATCACAGCGCTAATGTCTTTGATCTCATCAAACAAACGAGATCCTGGTATTGACTGCTTTGATCGTGCGTCCCGTGAATGAATGCTAATGCTAATGCTAATGCTGCTGCTGCTGTCGCCTGAATGTGAAATCAGAGACAAACACTTTGACTGCTTAACAAAATAAACAAAATGAACAGGTTGCGTCAGAGAGTCGCAGGTCCTAACAGTAACGCTCACTTTACAGGGGTCAGAGGTCACATAATTACATCCATTTCCTCTGTAGACGCAGATAAACAACAACAACTTCTACATTCTATTTTTTTTTACGCCTGTTGTTACCCCATCTCTATCTTGAACCCATCTGTCACTTTGACTGCACATCCCAGCACTGTTTCCACAGTCATAAGATAATTAACGGACTCAGCCATTTTATGATTATTTTCAGATTGGCTGAAACCACCGCAGCCAAAACCCAGAGCAGAACCTTTTAAAAACCGATTATTTCTTTTCAAAAGAGACGAGAGACAAAGACGACAGTTGAATCGTTTCACATCCTGCCTCCAGCTGGAGAATTCCAATACTGCACAAAGGAAAAGAGATTTAAAAGTCAGTGTATAAGGCCAATACATTAAGCGGCGAAGCTCATATAAAGAAATGAGCTCCCACTGTCTGTGTGCCGAGGGTGAACACTGCACCAACTGCCTGCTCTACTTCCACTTGCCAAAAGAACACTCTTCCATTTCTTAAGCAAATGGATGTTGTTTCCTCCTGGGTAAACAGGGAAGATCACATCACATAAATCTCCTTCATAATGTGGAGAGACTACTGTAGTAACGGCCCGGCGCTTCCTTAAATGCAGCGGTCTTAAAAGAAGCCACACACACTCACACACTCACACACACACACGGAGGAATAAAAGCTTAAACACTGTGGTGACTGATAATGGACTAAAGGTTTCCTATTAGTGACCTCCATTTCATTTAGCCACAGAAAACACCGGAGTAACACAGATTAGATGAGAGATAATCTTACACGCTGCCAGTGACAACGGAGCAAGGGCTTCTGGGAAGGCAAAAGCATTTGCCGTGTGTGTGTGAGAGACATCGTGTTTGACAGT